AGGTAACCTTGTTTTCGGAGAACAATGACAACCTTCGTAGTCGAGCACGTCTGTATGTTCCTGTGTTTCTTTGTGGGCGACAGAATCAATAGTAATGACATCGGCCGATGTCAATGGTAACAGTGAAAGAACAAGTGCAATCGCAGAAAGGTTCAAATTGCCTGTTGCAACCCCTTAACTATGCCCCATTCAAACTGGAAACGCGACGACATTATTCTTCGTGGTCCCATCTAAAATTCATACTAACGTCTTTAACAATAGATCACCCAGCGTCCTACGGGTTCCATTCACTTCAACGCTGAAGACTTTTCCTTCCATGCCCTCTTCTAAGTCTAAGTCTTCCGGAAACAACGACTGAGCGAATGAGAAAAACACATGCCCTTGTACATCTTTTGCCTTCATTCTCCATGCAGGCGGATATCGAAGTAAATTTCGTATTAAATCCACTGCAGCGTTGGCAGTATCAGAGGCATTTGATACTTCTGTAGGCAAATTTGGCAGAACTTGCTTGTTCAATATCATCCCATCTACTTTCGTAAATTCAACCTTCTGTGCGTCAGGGAGGTCTTTGAATCCCGGCCATGCCCAGCTTTCCGCTTCTTCTTGTTTATTCGCAGGTTCCCGGGGAGTTCCAAAAACCTTGAAGATGCTCCAAGCCAAACCAATTTCACCACGAGAGACGTCAAAGAGAGAATTACGAGTGTAGCGAGTAGGGGAACGCTGTGATGAAGAATTTGGATCGGATCTGGAGGGATAAGGATAATCATCGGAGGACGGGGATGACGACAAGGGGGTAAGCAGCGTAAAAAATTCGGCGAACACCGCGCCGAGACTCCATAAGTCGATTGCGTATGGATCATATGAGCGCGTTCCGAAGAGAAGTTCTGGTGCGCGGTAAGGACTACAGAATAGAGCTCAGTTTTCCAAATCAAAGAGACATAGAAAGACAGACCCAGTAGAGACCTCGAAATACATATTTTCTTTTGTCTCTGGCCACAGATCGCTATTCTTCATTGACTCCTCGTCGTTCCCATTGGACCCATCCCAAGCTATTCCAAAATCAATGAGTATTACACGTCCAGTGGGCGTCAGGAGAATATTTGCGGGTTTGAGATCGCGATGGGCAATACTCTGTGCGTGAAGATATGTAACAGCGTAGATTATCTGTATCATAAAGGAGCGGGTGAGGTAGAGAAAGTTCGAAAGATGAGTTTGAGTTTGGATAGTTTCTGAAGTAGAAATACCCTCGGGCTGTGGAACAAAAAGCGCTGAATCCAAAAGGTCGGAGAGGGAGTATGGAATGTAGGGCATCCAAATGTTCATGGTATTCTGAGTTCGGTCCAATGAGGAGTCGAATACAGGGATAATCTGCGACCGAAGATGTTCAAGACAGTTGACAAGAAACAATTCCGTCGTACATTAGAATGAGAAAGCCGTTGAAGAATTCTGCATTCCTTGATGATATCGTGCGGCTCTTTGACCCATTTCTTGATTGTTGTAGATGTCTTCACAACGATAAGCTGAGGCTCCTCATTATCTACAGAAGCCCAAGTCTTCGATACAGTTGAAGCAAGGCCTTCAGCGATGATTTTGAAGTCGTCGTCGCCGTCATCCTCACTGTCATCTAACTCGATAATATCCCGGTTTTCGACAGTCTGTAGCACACAAGGTTAGAAAAGTGTTTGTGCTCACGATTGTCGGGGAAAATTCTAACATGATTTCGAAGATGGTGGTCGAAGAACATGTCGTACGGCGCCTTTTTTCTCTCTTTCCGTCCATTTCCACTTGCATTTTTTCTTGCTCTTCTCATAACCAAACTTTACGACTCTTAAATTCATCATGTCCGATGAAGAAGGCGCCAACAACAGTAAGTATGTCGCCGCCGTTCAATCTTCCAGCTACAAGTCGTAATCTCTTCTAAATCAAGATCAGCGATTATTGGCCGCAGCTAGAGAAGACAATGAGGAATTATTATTAGAGGTCTTTGAGGCTGGAGGTTTCGATATAAATTATCAGGATGGGTGGGTGTATCCTCTTTTTGCTTTCTCGTTCTGATACGACCGTTACTTAGAGTGGGCAATACAGGCATGACTACTTCGCATTATCACAGTGACTGTAATGAAATCGGGATCAACTTAGCTCTACATATCGCGTGAGCTTCTTCCCTACAAGACACGTACAGCGTTTTTGAAATCATTTCCAGCGTACAGAACGGTTCCGCGGACGTCTTAGAGCATATCCTCTCGCATGAAGAATGCGATGTCGACCCTGTCAACCGCATTAATCGCGCCACTCCTCTTCATGTGGCGTGCCAATTGGAGGACAACGGTATGCGCTCGTATATGGTAGAATCCCTTCTAGAAGCTGGAGCCGATACCAAGATACGTGACAAAAACGGCGAGCTAGCAGAATCATTTGTTCCACCGACTGATGAAGAGACGAGAAGGTTGTTTAGAAAGACGCAGGCGCAAATTATGACGGTGTCACAGGATGATATAGCTAGTGGTGAGCGTACATGCTCAATATAACGTTCTCAACTTATTGATTATGGTGGGTTAGACGACGACGGGGAACCAGGCTCGGGCTCGGGCTCAGATGAAGACTGATGTGCTTTTCTTTGAGGTTTATCGTACAGGATGTATAACAAGTAATGGTCAGTCACTATTAGGAAATTTATCGATCGATTGCCCAGTTTTTCTATTCAAATAATCTGGACCCTGAAAAGTGCCGGTCGGAATGTTGGAAGAGCAGATGAGAGCACGGTCATCTCTGGCCATTCGCTGCCACCTGTCGATGGTATTGTACAGTCTCAAGGAACCGTACCTCTTAACATCTTTTTTTTTTTACTACGACACTTGGATTGTTCACGCGTTATCCCAACCCCGATTCCGTGAAAACGTTGCGGGCTCTTCAAATGCCGGTTTTTTAAATCGCCCGTCCGAAGAGAGATTCAAACTCACTTGGATTGATTGCATCTATAGTATTCAGACACCATGTCGATGTTATACATTCCGCGGAAAGATTCAGGTTTGGTTTTGAACCCAGGACTGTAAGTATGTATATGTCTTTCAAAGAAATAGGTATGTTTCAAACTTGACAGAGACAGCTTTTGATAGCAAGAATTTACAGAGTTGAGAGAATCCCAACATTCAAGAACCAGCGTATCCGTGATTTTTCCTTCTTTCGCTCGGACTTTGGCTGGATTCCAGTGGATTACTCTGGAGTCGCTTCATAGTCCCCATTTCCGTGGATCTCGAGTCTCCTCTTCTAGTAACGTCTCTGACGCCGCTTGCTATCGATTTCTAAAGTTAGATTTTTACCCTTTGTGGGCAACTATGCATACTTAACAGTAGCCAATCGTAATAGGTTCACAATCATGTCCGATTATGCCAATGGAAGGAAAGGGATAGTACGAAATCGTCGTCGACTTAAGGTACAAGCGGCCTCCTTCAATCTGTCCCACTGTAAACCCACCATCGTTATTCTATACGAGCTTCTTTCAAGTCAAAATGTTCTTGACGTGGATGATGCCTTTGATACTCTGCCTCATTATCAATTGGCACATCTCAAAACTGTCGAAAAGAACCGATTTTGAGGCTCGGAAAGAATGTGGCAAGGAACACAGGTCGGAATTTCTGCCTTACATCCAATTCTAATCAAGGAGGGGCGTCGTGCGGTGAGCTAAGGTTGAGGTGGCCCTGTTCTGGCCTGTCGGGCTCGAACTAGGTACCGTATGAACTTGTATGAAGTGTAACAAGAAATGAAGCTCCTGACGTCGGATTGGTCGAATGTTCCAGAGGAACCAGCGGATATTACTATGCGTGGAGCTGGGTATGATTAATGCTATAAAAGTCAGGCATTTTTACAGTGTTCTCTTCAGCATCTCTCCTTTGAGTCACTTACTTACTAACAGCTATGCATTTCTTCACCTTGCTCACTGCTGCAATGTTCAGCGTCGCTGTTCGTGCGGACATCGAGACTGCTGCTAGTGCTCCTTCGTCCTCTGCGGCCGCCGTCTCAGCTTCCTCATTCACTAATGCCACACTTCAGCTCTCCCTGAGTAACACTCTGAGCCAGGCCAATTACTATGTACGTCTACACTCTTGTGCGTTCATTTGAGCACTGATCAGATTTCCAGGGCGCCCCGATCCCTCCTTGGGAGGTAGGGTCCCACCCGGGGTGGTATTATGGTACGGACCCCGCCGCTATCATTGGCTGGGTGCTTCCCTGGCTCTTGGACTCTGTAAGTTTTTTCTTTCGCGACTTTAGAACGTAATTGCTGACGTTGATTTCATGTCCTTTTAGCTTATCTGTGACATTCTGGACCTACTCCCGTTTTGCCTCCATTGCCCGGTCCCCAAGCCTCCCCCGAAAAATGGCTGGGTCCCGACCTTCAGTAACCTTACCGGTGCTACGCAGGCCAGTGACTATATGACTTACGGGCTTGTCGATACTATTCAAGGTCAGTACTGACGTGTATGCCGTCAATGCGAAGTTTGAACCCTGATTGCAGGTTGCGAGACTATGTGTCTCAATGTCAACGGATGCACCTTCATTGACAGTAAGTTTTATCTTTCCATCGGGGTCGCAGTATTGATTTCTTTTCTGTAGCCTATCACGATGTCAATGGCAAGGTCCGTATCCATCTCAGCTATCATACTTAAAGACTGACGTGATGCTACCTAAATTAGAACGGATCTCCCCAATTGACCTGCGCCTTGTTCTCGCTATGCCACGACGCGTCCGACGCCGACAACAAAGGTGGCCAGACTCAACCGGATGGGAGCGTCGATTATATTATTGATAGCAATGGGTTCTGCTTACACTCTTAAAGCTCTCAACGTACATACATTGTTTGTTCCAAAAAATCGGCGTGGACTAGTCTCCTGTGGCTCTTGAATATTTACTTCCTAGCTGCATATATATAAACATGGTGTTACAAATATCTATCAATGGGCAATTTTGTTGGTATAAACTTTTTGAAGGCAGGCAAAATTATATGCTCCCTGCAAGGCTCGAACTTGCGACCTCGAGATTATGAAAGCAAATCGCTCCTCATAGCTATGAGACTCGCGCTCTACCGACTGAGCTAAGGAAGCCTTTCCTCTCTAAGCCATGGTCACGTGAGAAGCAACAAATTACACCGGACCTGGAAGTGTAGAGAATTCCGCTCTGAGTTTGCAGAATTATACCAATTTATTTTCATTGAGTGAAGGCTCAAGAATTTCAATGAGTTGTCCGTACAATCTTGCAGAAATTTGACATTCTGGTCTATCAAAAAGACAATTGACCTTTGCTCCAGACTGATGGTCACAACCAAACTCCGAGTATCATTCTGCTCAGCAGAATTTCCTATACTTGTGGTGTGAGGGGAATTAAGTTTGTACAGATACAAGAAAATAGAAGGGTAATTCATAGAATTTACAAATGATAGATACCAACAGTGACTGCGTCCATTATTCATTCCACACTTAGCTATGTTTTCAAAGACTAGTTCTTGTAGATGCTACATCAGAGTACACAGGGCGAGCAGTTAAAGCATGGTTGTCGATTGAAATGCTTTGCGTAACATTTGCAGTCTTGTAGATACCGATCAGACGATGACTGAGTTCAAACATGTCGTTCCTAAAAGCCTCTGAGTGATCAACATAAATCTAAGATCCCAAGAACGCAACATACCGAAGGGAAATGATGATAAATTGTGCATTTTTTGTCCTGTCTTTGATGTAGTTCGCTATGATAGAGACGTTTCTAAAGTCAAGAGCCGCATCGATCTCATCCATGAAGTAGAGAGGTGTAGGCTGAGTGGAGTTATGAGGATTCAACTTTGCAGAGACGGGAGTCAAACTTGCCTTGAAGACATGCAAAGCGAAAACAAGCGCAAGAGAGCTCAAAGTCTAAGAAATAGACTTGAGCATATTATAAGATATTGCATTTGACACCGCACCTTTTCCCCACCAGACAGATTCGAGATATTCTTCCAGCTCTTCTTTGGGGGCATCACGCTGAAGATGATTCCTTCCGCGAAAGGATCCATACTATCAACTAATTCGAGTTCGGCATTTCCGCCCTGTGTAATCATCTACAAACCAAACATCTGAATTTCTGGATTGTGCTGAACGATAAAAGCGCGACCTGCCTGATACATCTCTTTAAGTTTGAGCGAAATAGTGCTGAAACCAGCCATGAATTCCTCTAGACGCTGCTTCCGCAAATCCTCGTATTTCTTTTTTTGAGCGTCACGCAAAGCCACAACTTTCTCGAGGTCGTCGTGTCGACTGAGGAACTCTGCCTCGCGACGCTTATACTCTTCAAGCACGTTCAAGTTAGGTTTCGCTCGTTTGATTTGATCTAGATGAAAATATGTCAGTCCCGCTGGAAGAAAAGGCACACATTATGCTACCTTCGAGAGCTTGCACATCGACCCTCATATCCCGCTCCTTGAATTTCTGCAGTTCCAAGGTCTTGTATACATGAAGCTTGTTCGGACCCGCTTCATCCTTTGGAGGTTCGATTGGATTTACGTCGATGTCCTCCTCGTCGTCTTCGTGTTTCTGGTGAGCACTTTCACCTTGATCTGCTTCTCCTTCCTCATCGCCTTCCTCATCTCCCTCATCATCACTGGACGACACATAAGCAACGACATGACAGCGAGAGAGGGCCCGCTTACCCGACGTCTTCCAATGTTAAGGCATCATGCAGTGCCCGGTAGTGTTCTACTTGAGTAGAAATACGATCAATCTCTTTTTGATGACCATCGATAGCTTTTTGAAGTTTGATCTACCATTGAACGTTAGAAACATAACAATGAGGTCGTCAGATGGAAACCAACCTCGGTTTGACGAAATGCTTCTACCGCCTCAGTCTTTGTTTCAAGTTGGGCTTTCCGTTCGGCCAAAGCTTCTCTCTTACTTTCTTCGGCTGCTTCGGCTGCCTCCACCTTAGCTTTTACCGTTTTCACGAAGCCTGACAGTTCTCCCAACTGGCCATCAAGCTCGGCGAGCTCACTTTCTAGTTGCTCAAGTGCAGCGGCATCGGAATCGACAGTATGTTGATGCTTGTCAACGTCCTTTTCCGCCTTTGCTTTGGTCACTTCGGCATTAGTAATGCTGTCGTTCGTGAGGTTGATATGGTTTCTGAGGCCTTCGACTTTGGATTTTTGGGCCATTAATTTAGACCCTCCAATCTTCATGATCTTGTCCTCAACTTCTTGAAGAGAAGCCTCAATTTCACCTGCTTTCTCTTTCAATTCCCTAATGTCAACCTTGAACCGGGAGATGTTATCTTCAAGGTTTTGAATCCGAGTAACATCATTTTGGTCTGGTTTTGAATGTGTCCTGTATGAAAATACTGATTAGTTTCAAGAGCGTCGCACACACATTCAAACCTTACACTAAATTCTTAAGACGCTTCTCTGCCTCCTCAATTCGAGACTTTCCTTGTTGGATATCGAGGCCCAATTTCGCATAGCGAAGGTCGATCTCTGGACCAGAACGATTGAGTTGTTCCAATTCCGCCTCCGCACTACGCACCATCGCAATTGCTTCTTCAAGTTTCGACTGAGCTTGATCCCGTTCTTGCTCGAATTCCTGCAATTGCCGAGGGCTGACAGAATCTTTGGCCAACTTTGCGCTCATCCCACCTTTCGCAGGTGCTCCTCCTCCTCCAGACATGGCGCCGGAGGTCTCGATGACTTGGCCTGCTAACGTAACAACCTTAGTCCGTCTTTCTCCAAAAGCTATACGATTGGCCTGGTCTATGTCTTTCGCGACTAAAGTATCTCCGACAGCTTTGTAGAACACCTCCGCAAACTTTGTATCTTTCGGAGTGATCAGATCAAACAGTCTCGGGACATTTTCTGGAGTGCTGGGAGGAGAAAGCACCGAAGAATGAAAACTGATCTTCTCAAGAACCATGAACGTCGCCCGACCGATGGTGTTCGAGCGCAGGTACTCAAGGCATTCCTGGCCTTGTTTTACAGTGTCGACAACCATGTTATTCAAGCTTGGGCAAGCAGTGGTTATGGCGACATCGTATTTTTCAGGAATGGTACCAAGGCTTCCGAGACGGCCCTAAGAAATTGTTCAGTCCGGGCTTGATAGAAATCCTGGGCTAGAACATACATGGAAGCCGGTAATTCGACCAGTATCTTGCATCCGGGTAAGACTTTCTAGGACCTTGCCTTGAGACCGTGTCTCAGCTTGCGACGCTTTCGCTTCCAAAACGCGCTGGTGCGACGATGATGATTTGGTTCGCCAGCATTGTTCGGATTCTTGTGCTTTCTACAATCGATGAACAGTCTGAAGGACCATGCATGAGAGCAATATACATACATTCAGTTTCCCTGTGATTGTCTCTTTCTTGCTGTTCAGCTCTGCCTTTTCTCCTTTAGTTTCCGCGATCAACTTGATCTTCTCCTCCTGATCAAGTTTTACTTTTTCCAAATGTTCTTCAGCCTCCTCCAAAGCTGTCTGGATGTGTTCAACCTTTTTGAGTAACGCATCGCGTTCGCCACCCGCAACGTCTATTTCTGTCTGTTTAGCATTGATTTTGGCAGTCCAGGGCTGGAGATCCTTCTGTAGGGCTTCTTTCTGGTCGTAGAACTTCTGCGTTTTGTCTAGAAATGCGACAATTTTTAGACTGCACAGAGGTTCAGGCCATAAACGCAATATCTCCTACCTCGAAGACTATCCTGGATTTCTTCTAAAACTTTCTCTTCTATGCCCAAAGATTCTTCGTAATTTTCTAAATTCTTCTTCTCCTTCTTGAGTTTCTCTTCACTGTCTTCAATTGCGTGCTGTGCGGTTTTAAGAGCAGTTCGAGCCTTCGACACGGGATGATATCAGATAAACCATCAAAGGAGCAAAATTCACTTACGTCGCCTACACTTTTCTTCAGTTTTTTAGCCTTCCCCGCAGCATGTTTCCTTTTCTCAGAAAGACCGATTTCTTGCTTTTCGTGTTCAGATAACGATTGTACAGCCTCCGTAACTAGTTTTTGGACTTCCTATAGGTATGATAAACGAACGGAGCGTAGATACTTCTAAAAGGAACGTACTTTGTAACCCTTCTCGTACGCCTTATAGTCGGCCTGGAGCTCCTCCAAATGTTCAATATCGTCCTTGTTTTTTGCTTTCTCTTGATCAAGCTCCCCTTCGGCTTTCTCCTACAAGGGCAAAGATCGCATGGAAATTATCACTATCAGAGAGGGAAGGACTAACGAGGAGTGCACGAATTTTATTTTCGCTATGGAGAGTCTGCCAAATGTACCATTGGTAAAGCTTGGATTGCGCTCGAACCAGCTCGTTCTGTAGCCTCAAATATTCCTCGGCCTCCTTCTTCTTGTCTTCCAGGGAGTTCTTCTCCCTCTCAACGAGGCGTAATCGATTCAACTTCTCTTGGCGGCTCTCTTGGAGATTTTCTAAGTCTGCGAAAGCTGTCTCAATAGGCTCCTTGTACTTGGAGGTACCAATTATATCCTCCAGGTACTCAAGCAGTCCTTCGTCGTGTTCCCCACCTTTGGGCTTCATTTGGGCAATGGACTCGACTTCCCCCTAGGACGTTGATATGAGAAGCAAGATTACACCTCTGCGACCATAGAAACGAACCTGTAAGATTAGAAATCTCTTGTGATCCAAATCGATTCCCCGCCCCTTCAAGAGGCTCTGAACTTCCTTGTAGGAGCTACTGCGCCCATTGATAGTGTAAGTACTGGTATTATCCTTGTACGCATGGCGCCCTACAACGAGATTAGACTCGGGAACAATATCGAAGGCGTCAGGACCAGGCTGGAACGACATCAGATGAAACTGATTCCAAAAGATGCGATATTCTTACACGGTCAATTATCTCGCGGAAATACACCTCGACAGAACATTGATTAAGGTCGGGGTGACGAGCGGAGTTATGAATTAGTTCTGACAATTTGCCTTGACGCATCTTGGAGGCACGATATCCGAAGACAAAAAGCAGCGCATCGATGGTGTTGGATTTTCCTGATCCATTTGCTCCGACGATTGAGGAGAAAGACTGATATGACAATTTGAATAGTGGTAGGAAAAGACCTGGATGGTGCATACCTTATGAAAAGGGCCTATCTC